TGCAAAATTCAGATAGATTGAGGAGACATTAAAAGACCATCTTTTTTGTAGTACTTTTGAAGGACAATTTTAGAACAGAAATCTAGCATGTACGTCATGTCTATAGAAGTTCAATCGCATTCAAATATTGTGATCATATGAAGACACAGAGAATTACTTCTACATATGACTACATAATACTGATATAGCATGACAACGAGTATAGAAACAGAACACAACACAAGGAACAAAAAAATTCTAAATCAGTACTTCAACAACAATAATAACGAAAAGATTGTTGTGTAAACAATACAACTTCAAGATCAAATTACCCCTGCAACACAGGATACATATATACATATATATACATGTGTGTGTGTGTGTCTACATATATATACCATATATATATATATATATACATACATACATGCATATATATATGTATGTATATATATACATGCATACATATATATGTATGTATATGTATATATATATGTATGTATGTATATATACATGTATACATATATATATATATGTGTGTATATATATGTATGTATGTATATATATCATCTACCCTTTAAAAGAGGGAGTACTAAAAAACTTTCCTTACCCCCAAATTACCCTTCAACTATTGTAGATATAACAAAGTTATCCTCATCTTTCATTTCATTAACTTAACAAAGGTAACTTGTTTTTTCATTACTCACAAATCAGAAGATGTAAAGCCCTAAATCTTCGTTTCTTCCCTTCTCCATTCCATCCGTTACCAATTTCCTCCGGCAACGCAGTTCCACTTTCTCTGCCTCATCAATTGTCGGTTATCAAATTACAAAGATGATTATTATCGTCATCAAGAAGCTTATTATTATCCTCATCATCCACAAACCTTATCTTCCATCTTCTCCTAAAATATCAGATTTTAGGCATTAGGAAGGATCAGGAAGTGATCAAATTGAGCAAGGTTTTTATAAGAGAATAATTTTTGGTAAGTCTTTATCAATTTATAAATTTTTATTATAATTTTTATTTTGGAAATTCTTACTATTCGATATCTTTACGTTTCATTTAATCTACTTGCAAAATAAATTGCCCACCTTCAGGTTTTGTGTCGAGAATAATAGAGGAAGAAAAGCAACTTAATATGCATTTCTAGACAAAAACTTTGTTAAGAATTATATTGGTTTTGATATGATTGTTAACACACTGGCCATAATTCAATGGCTTCAGTTTTTAAACAAAGTGGTTTTTGCCACGATATGACTGCATTACATTTCAATACATATTCTAAGCATTCCTTAAACAAGATATTCTAAGCTCAAATTTCATTATCAATTTTACCATTTATCAATTTCTGAAATATAGTAGCATTATTTAAAAATTAAACTGATAGTGTTATGTAAATTGTCAGTTCATAATTCAATAGTTTAAATATTTGAGTGAAATAATCCCCGACAAAATTTTCTGGACAAACTAGATATTGGAACATAACAGAGATTATGCAGGGTTATTTTTGGGCATTTTAATGGCTAGAAAAAAAAAATTTAGATTGCATAGCCTAAAATAGTACTGAACTTTGTTTTCTTTTGATACTTTATAGTTAGTAGCAAGCGAATTATTGAGAACTTGCATTAGTCTAAGATTGTTTACAATATTTACTAAATCACATTTAATACGATAATATTCTATTTTTTAAGTGGTTTTGTTGACCTTCATCAATTGTGATAATTAGAACGCTAAAAGGAATTCCAGGTATTAATTTGGTCATTACTTGTTTTATTTAAGAACATAAACTGGGATTCATTCTTCCGCCAAGAGTTTGAGTTATAACAAATCTTATTGGGCAAAAATATGAGTAAAGGATCATAACTTGCAATAAAATCTCGGGCCGGTTATGTTTTATTCTCCAAAAGAAGAAGAAAATATTAGTATCTTATTTCTAGATGAGCTTAGATATTATTTTTGGACTTACATAATATCTGGTATATATCCTCTGTTGTACTCAGTTTTAAAATGAGTATAGCAATATGTTTATGATCATAGTAGTTTTTGTCTAAACAGAGCTATTTTCCACAGTGTACATCACTTTTGTCCTAATTTTCGATAGTTGGTACATTAACTTTGTTGTTGATGTAACCGTTTCTATTAATTATAGTATAAACTTCTGTTTAGTATAGCAAATCTATGCTACTATTGCAAATTTTGCATCAGTTTAGCAACTATTATTGCAGATATAAGCTTTCTGCTTGTGTACCAAACTTCGAACACAAGAGTATACCATCAATCATCGTATGTCCAATCAGCACAAGTTTTCTCTGAGGCAATTTACGTTCTATTCATTAGAATTTACTTTTTTTTCTTGCACTACAATTAGTTTTGATGGCAATTGATATTTTCTAATTTTTTCGGTTTTCATGCATTATTTACAGGATTAAGGATTTGGAGGTTGTTGTCTCGCCCATCTATCAAGGTAAATTTTAATATTTAATATACATTTACTTTGGTTGCTCAATACATTATAACATTACTATATGATTGCTGACACAATTACTTTTACTGTATGCGTTTGTGTGATTTGTGAGTTACTGAGTACGTTTAGTGAGAAACAACCTTGTTCATTCCCTCACGCTTGTGTTATGTAGTCTCTAATCATCTCTTCTTACTATTAATGTGTGTACTACCTTACATGTGTAATATTGTCAATATATAGTTATGTTGATTGAGGTTTAAATATAAACCGGGTTGCCTCATGCAAATATGTTAATTATTCTAATGGGAGAGCACAAAATTACATCATCAGATCAGTACGACAAGTAAATATCAGCAGAAATTGCAGACCAATATTAAAATCCAATCCTATATGAACTGGTAAAAAACATATGATACATGGCCCTTGTGGAGAGTTAAATATGAAGAATATTTGCATGCAAAATGACAAGTGCAAGTATCACTACCCTAGAGATTTTAGTCCAAAATCAGTACAAGCGAAAGATGCTTACCCAATTTATAAAAGGAACAAAAATAACAGAACAATGTTGGTTCGAAACAAAATCCTTAATAATCAATGGATGGTACCTTACAATCCATATTTGCTAACACATTATAACTGCCACATCAATGTTGAAATATGCTCAAGCATTAAAGCAGTGAAATACCTTTATAAGTACATATATAAAGGTCATGATAGAGTGACAGTAAAAATTGAGTATAATGAAGGAGAAAATGTTGTGGATGAAATCAAAAATTTCCAAGAAGCAAGATGGGTATTAGCTTAGGAAGCTTTCTGGAGAATATATGATTTCATCTTAATGAGATATTCCCATCCGTCATTAACTTACAGCTGCACAAGCCAAATCAGCAATATGTTTCTTATTGGAAACATCAAGACCTATCGAAATTGATTCACTTTGAATATGTCTCCAAAACAATGCTTACAGAATTTTTTACTGTGTATAAAAATTAAAGAAGGTAACAAGATGAAACCTGAAAAGAAGCACGAAAAGGAGTTATATGTAGAATTTCATGAATATTACGTTTGGGATTCAACATCAAAATCAAGGGAGTCCAAGAAAACAGAAACAGGTGATAAGCCGTATAAACGGGGATAACCCAATTGAATGAGAGAGATATTACTTAAGACTATTGCTTATCCACGTCAGGTGTCCGACATTATTTGAGGATCTACTGACGGTAAATGGTATTCATTGCAAATCTTTCAAGTAATCAGCCCAGAAATTAGGTCTTTTAAAATCTGATGATAGCATAAGAGAGTGCTTAGATGAAGCTATCGTCTTCCAAATGCCAACAGCACTTTGTTGTTTGTTTGCAACTATATTAGTTCATTGTGAGCCCACAGATGTTAATCATTTATAGGATCAATATCTTGAATCACTATCTGAAGACTTCTCAAGGAAACCACATGCTACCAGAGCTTCAGCAATAAATGATATTCTTCTTAATATTAACTTCTACTTAGAAAGCATAGGAAAGGATATTCAAATTTTTGATTTGTCACCTTTACAAACAAAATCCATTACAGAGGAAAGTTCATACCCAAGAGAAATAAAAGAAGAACTAGATGTACAAATCCCAACTGAAGATCTAAATGTTGTGATAAAACTCAACTCTGAACAACATACTACATACGCTACAATATTAACACGAGTTGAAGCAAATAAAAAAGGAGTTTTCTTTATTGACGGTCCTGGAGGAACTGAGAAGACATGTATACCATGCTCTACTTGCCACAGTAAGATCACAATGTATGATAGCTCTTGCTACAGCGACATCAAGCGTTGCAGTTGTAATAATGTCTGGCGGAAAAACAGCACACTCCAGATTTAAGATCAAAATCCCAACAAATTCATATATATGTGGCATATCAAAGCAAGATGGGATATCAAAACGCATGCGAATATCTCGGCTAATAATTTAGGATGAGTCTCCTATGGCTAAACGTGTTGCAATTGAAACGTTTGATAGAACACTAAGAGATTGATTCATAAGAGATTTAATGAATCAAGATGAGATTTAATGGATCAAGATGAACAATTTGGCGGAAAAGTATTTGTATTTGTTAGCGATTTCAGACAAGTTTTACCTGTGGTGCCTTGCTCAACAAGATCACAAACTATCAAAGAAAGTTTAGTAAGCTCACATTTGTGGAGCAAAATGACAAAACTATAACTTTTAAAAAATATGAGAGCAAAATCAGACGCAACTTCCAATGAATTTCTTCTTAGGATTGGGAACGAAGACGAACCAACATTGGCCCAGGACCTAATAAAACTACCTAATGCAATGTTGATCAAGAATCAAGGTGATGACCTACCGAAAGATTCTCTAATAAATTTAATTTTTCCATCTTTGGATGAGAATTTCAAGTCTATTGACTATATAAAAGATAGAGATATCCTTACAACAAAAAATGAATATGTTGACACGTTAAATGATAGACTAACAAAAAAGTTTCTAGGAGAAAGAAAAGAATTCTACAGCTTTGATGAAGTAGTTGATGACACTAATCAATCACCTTGTAGATACGACCATTGTACTATCGCATAATTGATCCCTAAATATAATTTTATTATTCAAACGTTGTGAATTTTTAGCTTCTGTTCATATGTTGGCTATATTGTTTACATTCAATAAATTTATATCAAACCTTTCCCTAAATAAAATTATAATTTAAAATAACATTAAAAAAATTTCACGAGCATTGCACATGCAATCCAACTAGTAACATAGGATATGTGTGTATAGCCAGTGTTGTAAAAAGCGGCAAATCGTGCCGCTATAGCACCACTAATCGCGGTCGCGGTGCTTCACAGCGCCGATAAAGGGGATAACAGGATGTTTTAGTGGAGAAACTCGCCTTTTGCTCGAAAAGCGGTCTGTAGCGCGAAATAGCGGGTTATAGCACTTAAAAGCGCTAAAAACGACTATAGTAACTTCTTAAATCCCTCCCCGAACCCGACCTGAACCCATTAAACATAAACCCATCTCTCTCTCTGATTCCCGATTGTGCCCTAGCCGCCTGCTCTCCCTCTTGTGCCTCTCTTTCATGTCCTCCGGTGACGACTTTCAGCACCATCTCCGGTCAACGCCGCCTCTGGTCAACACGCCTCCGATCAACGCCGCCTCTGGTCAACACGCCTCCGTCTCCGGTCAACGCCGCCTCTGGTCAACACGCCTCCGATCAACGCCGCCTCTGGTCAACACGCCTCCGATCAACGCCATCTCCCACACCAGCAGCACCTCCGATCAAGCCAGCAACACCTTCCGGTCTAGCCCATCTCTCTCTCACACAGTCTCACCTTTCTCTCTCTCTCTCACTTCCTCCGGCAACACTAGAACTTCCCTCCGGCAACACCAAAACATCCCTCCAGCGACCAACAACAGCAACATCTCCATCTCTGTTGGGCTTCGTCTGCAACAGAGAGAAAAAGGTAATAATTTGATTTTTGAAATCAAACGCTTGTTAGTTGTAAATTTCTTGTAATTTACTACTTTAAATTTTACCTATAGTAACTTATAACAGTTAGCACTTAGCAGATGACGATTGTACTCGAACTCATAATTATGATTATTCAATTATTCATTTACAATTACAGTTTACATGCTAAATTTGCTTTTCTGCACAAATGAAATTAGAACAGTAACATGCAACAAACACTATTTAATGAAATGAAAATATGGAGAAATTAGTCAATTCTAATTGTATTATGCCATAAATGTATGCAAATTGCAAAGGATTGACAATATATACACTTTTAGAATCTACAGTGCAATTTGTTTCAATTATTCATTAATTAATATTTAATAGTCCATCTCTTTAGTTATGATTTATTGATATTGATATAATATGTTGATAAAGGATAATATTATAAAGTTCTAGCACTTATATTGTTATTTGTTCTTGTTCATTGAATATGCATAATTTCAACCATTACATGGAATTGTCCTCTACAGCATCTAATCCATTGATGAGTTCTCAAAATCAAGAGTCGGGTAGCTCCCAGAACCAACCAAATCTGGCTTTCGAGGCTCGAGCTTCGGTTCAACACCCACATCCACGTCCTTCAGATGATATTGGATGGGATTGGGCAATTTATCCAGAATGGCCTAAGAAGAATTAGATCAAGTGCACTCTGTGAGGACATGAATCCACTTGTGATATTTCCCGCCATAAAGAGCACTTAACTAATAGCCAGGGGAATACAAAACCATGCAAGAAAGTGACGCCTGACATTATAGCAAGGGTAAAAGCAACAATGGCTGAAAGTAAGGATAAGAAATCAGGAAGTCAAACAAGATAAGATATGAGATCGAGCATAGACAAGAGGTCGATATTTCTAGTTTCAGAATTGAGAATGCGGAAGAGATCACTCAGATTGAAAACAAGAGGCCTCGTGAATTTGGAGCTATCCGTCAATTTGCAACATTCTTGCCAGAGGAGCCTACATCATCTCCGACTATGAAGCAAATAACAGTTGATGCAGCTAAGCACAAAAGAAGAAAGGAGTTGGTCCACGAATAGGTCTCTCTTTGGACTTGTGAAGTAGGAATTCCATTTCATGCATTGATGCTCCTTTCTTTTAATAATATGTGTGAAGCTATTGGCTAGTTTGGTCCAGTGTGGTCCAGGTTATATGGGACTGGCGATGTATCAGTTGAGGGATCCTTTGTTGAAGAAGGAAGTATCTTGTACTTCAGTTGGTTTGGAGCCACATAAGAAGCTTTGGGAGACTACTGGCTACACATTGATGACAGATTCGTGGACTGATCGAGAACATAGATGTGTTATGAACATGTGCATTCATTCTAGTGCTGGAGTTATCTTCTACAACTCGATAGAGTCTGCTGAATCTCATACCGGTGATTTTATTTTTAAGTGGGTTGATCAGTGCATCCAGGAGATAAGGGCAGACTATGTTGTACAAGTTGTCACTGATAATCACTCGGTGAACATGACTGCAAATGAGAAGCTAAAAAGTGAGAGGTCGAGAATCTTTTGTTCTTGTGCGGTGCACATAACCAATCTCATGTTGCAGGACATTGGAAAATTGACAAAATTTAATAATATAATTGAGAAGGCAAGGGCATCGACTGTTTTTATCTATAGGCACACCATGACTTTGGCACTTATGCGTAAGTGCACGAGGAAGGACATTGTCAGGCCGGACATCACTAGATTTGCTATCCATTCCTCACACTAGGGAGTTTATTGGAGAAGAAGGATGCACTGATGGCTATGTTTAATTCAAATGAGTTTACGAGTTTGAAACTTGTTGGGGGTGCAAAAAAGAAATCTCTTACAGCAAATGCTACGGTGATATCGAGAACCTTCTAGAGGTGTGAGGAGTTACTTAAAGGTCTTCACGCCTCTTTTCAAATTTTTTCGCATGGTCGATTTAGATATTTGTCCCTCAATGGGATTTATTATTAGAGAGCTTCAAATAGTGAAGAGGAAAATCATGGCTGCTTGGAAGACAGAGAACTATATGCCTATTATATCCATTATAAAGAGGCATGTTAAGAATAGGCTTGATAGTCCTCTTCACCTAGCTGCATGGTTCCTAAATCGTCTTTTCTATTATGCGGAAGATGTGGCTAAGAAGAGTGCAGAAGCTAAGCAAGCAGGTCTTGATTGTGCTAAGCTATTGTTTAGGAATGAAGATACTATTGATGAGGCTATCGTTGATACTATCTACTCCACTAAGATGTTGAAGTATAGGGACCATGATGCTTTCATCTATGGAAAGCCAAGAGCACAGAGAGTAGTGAAGAGAATTGCTGAGGACCGTAATCCAGGTATTGACTTATATTTTGATATATATTTGCTAGTTTTGAGATTGAATCAATTGATTAATTTGCTTTACCCTCTTCAAACAGCTCATTGGCGGGGCACATTTGGTGGAGACATGCCTTACATGCAAATGATGGCTCTTAGGATATTAAGATTGACAGGTAGCTCCTCTAAATGTGAAAGGAACTGGAGTTGATTTGAAGGGGTAATCACTCGCTACATTGTTTTAATTTTCAAATTCAATTGTTCATATTAAAAAAATGAGATTGAATTTGAAGTCATTGAACAATAAATGAAAAAATGATAATTTGAAAGAAATTATATTTTTATGTTTGAATGCAAATACACACAAAGAAAAGAAATAGGCTCGATAGCAAGAGATTAAGCGATCTAGTTTATTATGTGTAATTCAATTTGTGGATCAGAACTAAGATGGATACAACAAGAAAGGATGGAAAGAAGAGAGACATCCTACTTGCTAAAGACGGTCGTCACACTTCTTCATGGGTGGTGGATAAATATAACTCTGAGGAGGAAGAAGATTATTATCCAGGGACTGACATTCCACTTGGAGTTATCTCCAAAGCAGCTAGAACAGACGAGTTCTTGCAGCCGAGGAGGACCGCAATGAGGGCAAATAGGGCTTCTAGTTCAAGAGCTCATGAAGAGGTAGATTCGGAGGACGATGAGGAGTGACCTATTGAGAAGTGAGGACTCAGACTCAGATGAGGAGGATATCCAACTTGACGATGATGATAACGATGAGGATGCTTTGAGAGATGAGATTTTGCTACTTGACACTGCTGATGATGAGGATGATGAATGAGGATGAGTCATTGCTCGAATTCAGACTTTAGTCACTTCACTTTTGAGACTTCTAGGTTTTATTTTGCTTTAATTTAGACTTTTGAGTTTTGAGTTTGGACATGTCATGTGTTTGGAGTTTGATCTTTATTGCTTGCTTAGTATCTATAGACTGTTATTATCTACATGATATTATCTTGCTTTGCTTATTTAGTCATTTATCTATACTTGAATATTTTATTTTTTAAGTCAAATTTCTAGCAAGGTTATCGATAGCGGATAGCGTCGCGTAGTGGTGAGGCATCGTTAAGGCTATTTCGGGCTATTGCGGAAAAATAGCGGTAAAAAACATAAAATCAAATAGCGATCTAATTTAGATATGTATAAATACTAAAAAAAATTAAAAAAAATCCAAGAAATCTAAAAGTACATATTGGATGATTTAAAGAGATCCTAAACATGAAATAGACATGTAATCATCACGTAATATCGAAGATGACTGGAGGAGTCAAAAAGTCGTCTTCGAGAAGAAGAGCTTAGTGGTGACAGGACCGCCCTAAGAGGAGCTCACGGTGAAGAAAATGAGAAGAAGTATCAAGATAGATGCCAGAGGCTATGAGAGGTGGCGGGAGTATGCTGAAAATCACAGGAGACGACGGAATGTAATGGTCAAGGGTTGAGTTTAATTTTAAAAAAATAAGCCTCAAACCGCTTTTAAATAGCAATGAAAAAACAAATTCCGAATGCAATCGCTCACTATTTACCGTTATGACACACTATTGACCGCTTTTGCGAATAGACATATTCCTTAATATGCCACTGTTATTGCGTGATAGCGTAGCGGGCGATAGCGTCGCGGGAAGGAATCGCTAACGCTATTAGCGCCGCTATTACGGGGCTATTTACCGCTATTTATAACAGTGATTTCTAGTAGTTAATATAATGATGGTGCTACTAATCAATGCTTTTTTATTGTTGAGCATTTTTATAGTAGACTTGAAAGTTGAAGAAATGGGACAAATAACGGTCTTTTTGATAAACATGAACGTTTTTTTATTCTTTATAATTATAGTACTTTGTTAATATTATGTAATTATTACACATCTATTTTATGTTTAGGCATCAAGTATGCATTTGTAGAATTTTTAGATTTTTATATGATTTTTCCTATTATTTAGAATATTTAAATATATTTATATTTGACCGCTATTTGACTATGCGCTATTTGCCGCAATAGCTCCAAATAGCCTTAGCGGTACCGCGACGTGACGTAATCCGCTATTAGTAACCTTGTATCGCGGGGGAGATTAACGGAAAAAGGCGCTATGTGCTCGAAACGCGCGATAAACGCGGGTTTTAGCGGCTAAAAGCGCTTAAAAGCGCTAAAACCCGCTAATGATAACATTTAATCTCGCGGATATTTCACCGCGAACCCGACCCGAACATGTTATATAAAACCGCATCTCTTCGATATTCCCAAATCCAGACTCGTTTGCCCTAGCCGCCTACTCTTCCTTCACTCCGATGCTTTCACTCCTCCGGCGACTCCTTCCAGCGCCAACTCCGGTCAACGTCGCCTCCGATCAACACGCCTCCGGTCAACACGCCTCCGATCGACGCCATATCCGGCACCAGCAGCGCCTCCGGTCGACACATCTCTCTCTCTCACTCACGATCTTACCTTCCTCTCTCTCCGGTCAACGTTGCGTCGCCTCCGGTCACCTTCCTCTCTGCTGGGCTTCGTCTGCAACAGAGAGAACAAAAAAAGGTAATATTTAGTTGATTTATGATTATTTCATTCAAGAAAGAACGCCCAC